AAAAAAAAGAAAGAAACTCCCATAAACTTGGCATCTTAAAACAGGGCCCACCTACTAGTTCACAAATCTACAGGTCAAAAATTCAGTACTGTGTAAGTGGGTTTTCTGCCCAGGATATCACAAGCTGAGGTTGAGGCTGAGTTCTCTGCCCTGGGGGAAGATTCCCTTCTGAGCTTGTTCGGGTTGTTTGCAGAATTCAGCTCCTTGTGGCTGTAAGACTGAGATCCCTGCTTCCTTGCAGGCTGTCTGCCAGGGGCCACCTCCCCTCCAAGAGGCTGCCTGCACTTCTGGCCACATGCCGCTTCCATCTTCAATGCCAACAACAGAGAATCTCCCCCTTGTTGACTCTGTCATCTTTGAATCTCCTTTGCTGAGAAGAACCCTGTCCTGTTTAAGGGCTCGCCTGATTAGGTCAGGCCCACCAAGGATAATCTCCCTATTTTAAGATCAACTGATTAGAAACTTGCATTACATTTGCAAAATTCTTTCCCAGAAGCATCTAGATTAGTGTTGACTGAACAGCTGGGAGGTGTGCAGACACCAGGGGGAAGGTCTTGGGTACCATTTTAGAATTCTTCCAACAGCAGGAAGTCAGCCAAGAAAGCAAATGATTTCATGTGAAAATGCTAAGCCAGCCGGGTACAGTGGCTCAGCCTGTCATCCTAGCAGTTTGAGAGGCCTAGGCGAAAGGATTGCCTGAGTCTGCGGGTTCGAGACCAGCCAAGGCAACTTGGCACGACCTCGTCTCTACAATCAATCAAAAATTAGCTGGGCGTGGTGGCATGCATCTGTAGTTCCAGCTACTTGGAAGGCTGAGGCAGAAGGATCACCTGAGTCCAGCAGGTGGAGGCTGCGGTGGCCGGGAGTGTGCTGCTGCACTCCAGCCTGGGTGACAAGAGTGAGACTCCAACTCAAAAAAAAAGAAAAATGCTAAACCAAGGGCCACTAAAATGTGCAATAGAGCACTGGAGAGGAAGATGTACTGTTTTCCCTGCCCAGCATTTGTCCTGGCTCAGTGATGACACCTTGATTTGTCCTCACTTCCTCCACGGTCTCCTACTCCTGCCAAGTCTACCCTTGGCTCTAGAACTGGAGGTGTGACCTAGCGCTGGCCCATCAGATCATGGAATCTCTAGACTGCAGCGATTGGTTCAGAGATAAGCTTAGTTCCATCTATAATACCAGCACTTTGGGAGGCTGAGGTGAGAGGATTGCCTGAGCCCAGGGTTTCAAGCCCAGCCTGGACAACTTAGTGAGATCTCGTCTCTACGGTAAATCAAAAAATCAGCCAGGTGTGGTGTGGCTTGTCTGTGGTTCCAGCTACTAGGAAGGCTGAGATGGAAGGATCCCCTGAGCCCAGCAGGTCAAGGCTGCAGTGGCCAGGAGCATGCCACTACATTCCAGCCTGGGCAACAGAGGGAGACCCTAACTCAAAAAAAAGACTGCCCTGCCTTGGGACTTAGCCAGCCCTTTCGAGAAAGCAGTACTCTCTTTCTGCTGGGGTCACTAAACATGTAGAATGTGGGCCTGGAGATACCAGTGATCATCTCTGTCCCTGTCTGGGGGCGCCTGTCTGAGAACAAAGACTGCATGTAGGAAAAGCAGAACAAACAGGGAAGGGAGGAACGGAGAGATGCTGGGGTGGGTAGCCTCCAAGGCGGTCCTGGTTGATCCTCACCACCCAGGATCTGCACCCTTGCAGAGTTTCTCCCCACACTGAGAGACAGCTGTTTTGTGTGTCCATTAGAACACAGTGGAATGAGGAGACACCCCTCATCAACAAGGGTGCCTGAACGATGCATATTTGTATACCTAACCCTTAACTGTACCCCACAATTTTAAAATAAAAAATATGTTAAAAAAAAAAAAAGGCCGGGCTTGGTGGCTCTGCCTGTAATCCCAGCGCTTTGGGAGGCTGAGGTGAGTGGATTGCCTGAGACCTCAGGTTCGAGACCTGCCTGGGTAACTAGGTGAGACTGCATCTCTACAATAAATCAAAAAATCAGCCGGGCGTGGTAGCGCGCGCCTGTAGTTCCTGCTACTTGGAAGGCTGAGGCGGAAGGATCGCCGGAGCCCAGCAGGTCGAGGCTGCGGTGGCCGGGAGCGGCCACTGCACTCCAGTCTGGGCGACAGAGTGAGACCCGAACTCAAAAAAAAAAAAAAAAAAAGAACACAGAGGAAGTTAGCTGGGTGCATAGTAGAAGTGGGCCAGATGCCTGTCGTCCCCGCACTTGGGAGGCCAAGGTGAGAGGATTGCTTGAAGACGGGGGTTTGAGAATATGACGGCACTCAGGGTGTTGGACCCTCAAGCCCAGGTCACAAGAGGTCTTGCAGGTTCTGCCTTCGTCTTGGGTCACTCAGGCTGGGGGACGCCAGCCGCCACCCTGTGAGGACGCACAAGCAGCCCTGCAGAGAGGCCCATGTGGGGAGGAAGTAAAGTCTCGGGCCAACAACCAGGTCCAACTTAACAGCCACACGAACGAGCCTCGGAAGAGGAGACCACTTATCCGACTGACCTCTGGCTTGCAGCCTCCTGAGATTTCAAGCCGGAACCACTCAGCTAAACTGCATCTGAAGTCCTGACATCAGAAGTTAAGAAATCGTCCTTAGCTGTTGTTGCTTTAAGCCCTAAGTTTTAGGGTGATTCATTACGTGTTTGGTAACTTGTATTGATGGATGGATTCTTCATGACTTTGAGAGCCTGGATCCTAAAACTAGAAGTATCCTGAAGACCTCTCAGTTGTCCCAGCCAATAAAACCAATTTGAGAGTTGCTGTCACTTTCAATGCGTCCTAAGTGATACAAAGTAATTCACGGAAATGAAGACAGACAGAGTGTAGTGATTTGTTCATTTGCCAGAAGACAGGCAGGCTGAGGAAGACCTCTTGGCACAGAAACACAGCTAAGAGGAGGGCGGCCAGGAGGGACGCCTTTTCAACCACTGCTTTCAAAGGTAACGTGTTGACGTGTCTGCTGTTAAGTTGATGATGAAAGTGAAACTGAGATATACAGACGAGCTCATTAAAGTGAAATCACCCTTGTTGGTTTTTTTCTCATTGTTGCTTTTTGAGTCAGGACCGCACTCTGCCACCCAGGCCGGAGTGCAGTGGCGTGCTCATGCAACTTTGACCTCCTGGACTCAGGCGATCCCTCTGCCTCAGCCTCTGAATAGCTGGGACTACAAGCATGTACCTCCACCTGGCTAATTTTTAAAATATTTTTGTTTGTTTGTTTTTGATTTTTTTTCTTGTGTTGAGGACTGAGTTTCAATAGATTACAGCAAAGGAGCTGCTCTGCTACATACAAAACCTCGACCCAGAAGCAGGTCATCTTAATATTTTATGTTTGTAGAGACGACATCTCGCTGTGTTGCCCAGGCTTATCTCGAACTCCTGGGCTCAAGTGATCCTCCCACCTCAGCCTCCCAAAGTGCTGAGATTACAGGCGTGAGCCACCACACCCAGCCTCAGTTTCTTTTTGTGGGTCACCCTCCCCAGTTGTGTGGTAAAAGTGTACTTTCTAGAGCCCATCTCCCACACCGGAAGCTTAGTGGACCAGACGCCTTCCCCTACCCACAGCATAGCCAGAAGGACCTAAATTCAGCCATGAGTGTTCTCTCCCAGGACTCTAGTTCCTGATCAAGCCATACAAGGACAAGAAAAGTTAGAGGTCTAGCATCGGACCGCCCGTACTGTGACAAGATTGTTCCTGCTATGTGGCATAAGTCAGTCTGCAGCATACCTTCCAAAAACCAAGCTTATGCAGTAGTGAAATTCAAGTTCATTGTTTTATGTCATAAGAGATCTAGAATAGCCGGGCTCGGTGGCTCAGCCTGTCATCCCGCGCCTTTGGGAGGCTGAGGTGAGT